ACCATTTTAAAAGGGTGGTCACTGGACCTTTCTTAGAAATATTACGAAAAGTTATATCGTATATATAAATAAAATATTATATTCTATATGTATATAACATATATTAAACGCCTTTTGTTAGAAAATATTTTTATTTTTTCAAGTCTAAATACTTGGGGAATTTTCTGGCTTCACCACTAACTATTATTAGATCCTGTAGTGCAACAATGCAGAAGTTCCACCTAGGACCTTTTGCGTGAAAGTAATCAACATAGTCTTTCACAGTGGTTGCACGATATTTTGGAGGATTTTCTTCTGACAACAATTCCTTAATTGGTCCATAAAGCTTGAGAGTTGGAACTGAACCAGTATCGAAGAAGCTTGCAACTGGTACTCTTGGACCAACTTTATTTGATAATACTCTGTGCTCAACACTTGGATACTTGTCATTTGATATGAGCTTGGGAAAAAAACACCAGAATAAGGACAATTGGTAAAAGTACCAAACAAAAGGGGAATGTTGGAGTAACAGTAAAGTGGTCTCTGTGTGACCTATAAGTCACGGGTTCGAGCCGTGGAAGTAGCCATTAATGCTTGCATTAGGGTAGGTTGTCTTCATCACACCACTTGGGGTGCGGGCCATTTCCTGGACCTTGCGGACGCGGGATACCTTGTGCATCGGGCTGCTCTTTGTATAAGTACCAAGTGTCACGACCCAAAATCCACTAAAGGTCGTGATGGCGCCGGACACCGCTATCAGGCAAGCCATCCATAAATACTTAATTAAATTCTCGTTTTGACAATTCAGAAAACCATGATTTTTCTTTAATTTAAATAAATAAAGAAAACCTTTACAGGATCATTAAAACTGTTTACAATTTAAAACTGAACAATCTCATTATCATGCCAGAACCCGGTGTCACAAGTGCATGAGCAATTTCTAGGAAGTAATGTAATACAACAACTGTCCGGAATACAATATTAGACAGAAAGTAAATACAGTAATCTGAAAGAGACTCTGATGGCTGCGGGTCGTCTCGAGAAGTACAACTCACCTAAGTCTCTATATCAACCATGCTGCTATGCCCACTAGGCCATTAGAGATGCATGTGCATGTGCAACAAAAATGCACATCAAGTTTAGTATGAGTACGAAAACAATGTGTACCCAATGAGTATTCCGTCTAATCTCAAAGAAGTAGAGACGAGAGGTCGACTTCGATACTTACTAGTGGTCCAATAGTAATATATCATTAATACAAATAATCATGGATTTATTAAGAACGGCAGTAAATTCAAATAAGTCACGAAACAAGTAAACATTTCCTTTTTATATTAAGAAGTCTCCATATTCATAATCTATTACTTATCAATTTATCTCAAGCCAAGGAGAGCAAATATCAACATCTATAAATCTCGAGGCAAGCAATACAAGCATGCGCAAGTCATGCCGAGGTCATACGACCCGATCCAACATAAATGTAAACTGTGCACTGCCGAGGGTCGAATGACGCGATCCATAGATACATCTATTACCCCGCTCGCGAATCATGCATGTGACTCGATCAAATATAAATAAACACAACAATCAGTCAATCAAGAATTCATCAAGGAACAATTATCCAAAGAAAGGCCAATTCTCTTTTAACAATTCAAGAAAATGAAGTTTAATCTTTTAGAAATTCATTTACTAAATCGATGTGATTTAAACAATTCAAACTGTCAATGAGATTACAAATATTCCAAGTGTAGCATGCTTTTGGGACCTAGACTACCCGAACTTAAACATAATAGTAGCTACGCACGGACTCTCATCACCTCGTGCGCACGTAGCCCCCACAAATAGGAGCACATCACCAATTATTTCACATATGGGGATAATTCCCTCTTACAAGGTTAGAAAGGAGACTCACCTTGCTCCGAAGATCCATAACCGGCATTCCACGCACTTCAGAAGACTCGAATCGATGGTAAATGCTCTAAAACTAGCCAATAATTATGCAAATCCATTAATATATGTTCAATTACTCATTATAATCCAATTTATAACAATTCCAAACACTGATCAAAAAATTGACAAAATTGCCCTCGGGCCCAGTGCCCGGATCCAGAAATTTTTTGAAGATAAAGTTTACCCATAGCCTCACGAACTCAAATATATAATTTACTCTCAATTTCATACCCAAAATCGTGGTCAACATCCAAAAATACAAATTCTAGGTCTTTTCACCAAAACCCCAAGTTTCTACTAATTTCCATACTTTAATCCGCAATAAAAACCATGTATTTAACTTACAAGAGGTGGGATTAACTTACCTCATATTTGATGATGAAGTTACTCTCTTCAAAGGCTCCAAAATTGCCTAACCCAAGTGAAAAATGCGTGAAAAATGAGCCAAAACTCCTTTAAAGAACACACTGCCCAGCCCGACCTTTTGCACCTGCGATCACTTGACCGCTTCTGCGGTTCTGCAGGTGCGGTTCCAATACCGCTTCTGCGGTCCTCCTCCAGCTGCCCCAAACCATTTCTGCGCTGCCCAGACCGCATCTGTGACCTCGCAGGTGTGGGAAATCCATCGCACTTGCGGTTTCTGACCCTTCCACTTCCAGCCGCTTCTGCGGGTCACCCCCGCACCTGCGGTGCTCCTCATGCAGGTGCGGTTACACCAGAAGCCCAGTTGCTTCAGCCCTTCCTCCAATTCCATTTTCGATCCGTTGACTATCCGAAATCCACCCGAGGCACCGAGACCCCGTCCAATCACACCAACCAATCCCCAAACATATTACGGACTTGCTCGAGGCCTCAAAGCATATCAAACAACGCTAAAATCATGAATCCACTTCCAATCCAAGCTTATTGAACTTTAGAATTTCAAAATTCTACATTCGATGTCAAAACCTATCAAATCACGTCCGATTGACCTCAAATTTTGCACACAAGTCACATTTAACATTACAGACTTACTCTCGCTCCGGAATCGGAATCTGACCCCGATATAAAAAAGTCCACTTCCGGTAAAACTGCTCAAAAACCTTCAAATTTCTATCTTTAGCCAAATGACTCCAAAATGACTTACGGACCTCCGAATTCACTTCCGATCACACTCCTAACACCAAAATCACCATACGGAGCTATTCCCAGACTTGGTATCCCAAACAGACATTGATAACCCTGAAATGCACTTCAACCTAAACTTATGAAATTCTTCCAAAAAATGCAAATTTCCACAATAGGTGCTGAAACATTCCTGGATCTTCCAAAACCCGATCCAGACATACGCTCAAGTTCGAAATCATCATACGAACCTGCTAGAATTTTCGAATCCCGATTCCGAGGTCGTTTACTCCAAAAATCCAATCTTAGTCAATTCTTTCAACTTAAAGCTTCCGAAATGAGAATTCTCTTTCCAAATCAACTCCGAATTCCCAAGAATTCAATTCCGACCATGTGTACAAGTCATAATACCTGAAGCGAAGCTGCTCAGGGCCTCAAACTGTTGAACAACACGCTAGGGCTCAAAGCGACCGGTCGGGTCGTTACATTTTCTCCCACTTAAACATACGTTCGTCCTCGAACGTGCCGAGAACTGCTATGGAGATGTCCGAAATCACTGTTTAACTCCTTGAGCACCTACCCATGCTACCACAACTCGGATGGGCACCTTAACTTGATCAATATGAAGATATCCTTTTTCAATTAAGCAAATAAGCTTTAGAGCCCAATTCCAACATCCGGAATTCCCCGCCAGGCCTGTTTCCAACATATGAACACCGTATCAATCACCACACGATGTACCCGAACATGACTTCACACCTTACACCGCTTATTCATAGGACCACAATAACATTCTCTGAGCATAATAGTCGAAATTCCACGAATCTGATGCTCCCATTGCACCTCATGACATACATAGGTCTTGCTCTAACTCTTACAATACCACCATGACGGAAGAGATGTGCAAAAATTCATAACCAATTGTTGAATCAACAAATCATTGGGTCTATACTCCTGACAAGAACCATCACCTCATTCTGAACCAAATAATGGTCTTTTCTCCTTAATATACTCCATATAATCAGATTGCGCTGATCCTAAATCCAATGATCTCGTCTCATCCAGTACGAACTGCTCAGGCAATAAGCCACCCCGGACATGATCAAAAGTCTTATATGATGCCACAATGTTCCAATAGGCTACCAATTCGAATGCGATACAAAAGGAAAGCGAACTCTGGAAGGGACTACTCAACTCACATAGCTAATACGAGTTTTTCTCAGAAAAATAGGAAACAAAACACATAAAAATAGATATAGGGAACTGTACTCAACATCATACTATTGCGGCATGCAACCCGATCCAAACAACATACCCATGGCGGTGTGCTACCCGATCCATACATAAAATTTATATAAGGAGATACGCACCGAGCTAGATTGCTCATTACAACAAAATATCGAATATTGGTCACAAGCACGCTAAGTGCATAATACCTTCCCTGGGGAGGCATATAGCGCTATAAGTTACAAAACTCAAGCACAACTGAGGTGCGATATATGATCTGAATCTCAAGAGCCATTCTACTCATATAACATCATCTCTACGCGGAACCTCAACACATAAGAAATTCACCAAGCTATCTCACAACTCACACGGTGCAGTATATCATTACATGAAATAGCTGACGATGAAATAACACCCCGACTACTCTTTCATAAGGAGTGCATTGCTGAAATGAACACATCTGGTCTAATATAGAACCCATATTTACATTTAAATCCATCCACATACCTCAAACTGATTCTGATCACATTGAACTAGGCTAATAACCTTTCAAAGGTCCATAATAACTCCCATTTTTCTCATAACATACAAGAATAACCATCATAACCGGAGTAATCCTCCACAATCCACAACCCAATAAACCGAGTGCCCTCCAGGCATCAATTCTCAATTTAACGACATCACCACAATCTTCATACATGGTTTAACTCTTCAATAAATCAAGTGACTACATGCCACACTTATACAACCTTCCGTGGGGCACGCTCCCGCAACCTTCCGTAACCGATAACAGGTCTGTACATCCAAAGCATCGGCCGTACTAATGCTGAAAAACGATCAAGAATCCTTAACCAGGATGCAAAGCTTTTTTCACAAAACACTGATCTCAGGTGATGCTGAAGACAATACTAACTTACTTTAAACATCAAAACTCCTTTCATGGTCATCCGAGCTCGTGACATCCTTGTCAACACCGAACTACAACCTTGATCCTCACTTCAAATTCCATACCACTCACTGCACCCAACATGCTAATATATGATAGAAAACGATTTCCCATCATAACTCCGGAACCACTAATAGATTAACACTTCGTCATATAAAAACTTTTCACTTAACTCAGTTTAGGAGAACCATAGCAACACACAGGTGAATTCTCATAACCGTTGAATATGCAAATCTCTAAGTAGTGGTCTAAGCCACCATAGCCCTCCCGGGATCCGCCTATACATAACAGGCCATAACACTAGAATACTTCTGAATAACATCAATTACGGCGGCCAACAAACCTCACACATACCGTCATAAATCACTTGCATAACTTAATCACGCTGAAGGAACTGATCACTACCACCAATATGTCAATTCAACTATGGCTAACCAATCTATCTTCTTCCAATTTATCCTTGATTACCTTGGAAATAATAATAACTCCATTCAACACATAACATACTCCATCTGCACTCATTCTGAGTGACCTTGAATCACGAGACCATGCTGTCTCAAATCCCACAAACCATTTCATACCTCCCTTGTGCGCACATTCGCATCCTCAATTAGTATGCCCATTTTGATAATCCCTCTACTAATCCGAAGTCTTTTCTCATTTTCCTCCCAAATGCTACACTGTAAGTCAAAACATCATCGAACATTCTGGGCCTCTTCTTATAAGCTGCTACAAAAGCTTGATTCTTAACCGAACCTATAGGCTTGAAATCATTAGGCACCACACTTTACCCCTTTGAATCCACTAGGACTGTTGTTGAGAGCCACCCGCTCTGACTTGGCCTCGAATATAATCAACTCCATGAATCTTCTAGAATATGAATACTCTCTCAACGAAGCACCCGACAGAATTACTTCCCTTGAAACCCGCATCTATACAAGGCATAAATCCTGAATCCTTCCCCAAGTCTGAACACGAGCCAATAAGGCCAACCATAGCACACCTTTAACAATTCTTTTGCTCAATCACCTCTTATGTTACTCTCCCTTAGCTGAAATAACCCATCAATTTGCTAATAACCGGAAATCTCATAAATAGACGACCATGCAATCCAACCGTAGGCGGTGGGACTCTCCCACTTAGCTTGAAGCCACTATTACACAACTCTAGAACCCACCAAGATTCTTTCTCTTATTGACATGACTTTGCGCAATCAAACCGCCAAATTCCTTGAAATCTTTCCGTTAATATTTCATGAACACTCTGAATATCTAGCAATATTCACATATTCGACCTCTTACCGGATAGCCAGTAAAATCCTTCACGGAAGCTTCGCCAACCACGGGACCATTGACCTGCTCACAGGAAATAACCCACCTGAGCCGACGCTCATCCACCAGCTGCATAAGTTCATTCACTTCTTGAGGACATCAACCGAATGCGTGAAAATATCTTCCGATTCAAAGTTATGTTGTATCCTTCTTCATATCAAGCAGTTCCTTTCTGTCATATCAAATCTCCTGTCGTATGCTAGCCAATATTTCAAATTAAATCCATAGACCCCAATTACCAATCACTAAAATTCCCAAAATCATTCCAAACTCTCCTTAAGGTGCCTAGTTATCCTACCACAAAAACCATATGCAACTCCTCCACTCTCTTACTTTGGCGGAACTCACTCATTTAATCAACTACTCGACCTTCGCTTCTTATACATAGCCTTCTAGAAATTTAACCACCGCCTGATACTCCCCACATGTCCTTCCTCATCCCTTGCTGCTTAGTTGTTGCTTTAAATAAAATCTATCTTCGTGGCACTTGAACCCACAATCGCTACTAACTTTAAACCTTTCCGAAGATCATCTTTCTCGAGCTGTCAACATTAGAAAAACCGATTTAATACTGAACCACCGCACCCCGCGATCTCTGACAACCATTTCTCTAATATTATTTTACAATATCTTGCTTCAAAGGCGAATTGCAGAAGACCATAACACCGACGAACTTACATATACAATTGAGGACGACGACACTATATCGCAGATGAAAATTCCACCACGCTTGAAAATACCTAGTCTCGTTACTTCCTCTGCCCAAATCTGTACATTCATAGGCCAATTTCTTTTCCTCCACCGAAAATAAGATATTGAATCTCGAAACCATGCACTATGCAAACCTTATTTCAAGTCATTCACTGCCCCGGCACATGGGCATGCATCCTACCATCACGTCACTACTGTGAGATAATCATTCATGAGCATCAAAGCAACCCGTGCATGGACTCAAAGCTCTCAGAAGTATAGCTACTGAGCTAAAATGACAAGATATCCTTCCACAAGGCGATGATAATAGCCCAATCAACTATACCGGGAGAAATATCCTGCACCACATATGTAGTACCAATACAATTCTTCAATTCTAGACTTATAACAAGCGCTTCACGTCGCATAAGATTGAGTAAGAAGGAAACAAGGGCATAAGCCTCAAGGAATAAAATCACACGATAAGGAATCAAGAAGGGAAGTGCTCCTAACAGTCCTGTAGCCTCTCGAAGATAAGTACAGACGTCTTCGTACTGATCCGCAAGACTCTACTAGAATCACTCATGACTCGTGAGACCTAAGGGAACCTAGTGCTCTGATACCATGTTGTCACGACCCAAAATCCACTAAAGGTCGTGATGGCACCAGACACCGCTGTCAGGCAAGCCATCCATAAATACTTAATTAAATTCTCGTTTTGATAATTTTGAAAACCATGATTTTCCTTTAATTTAAATAAATAAAGATAACCTTTACAGGATCATTAAAAATGTTTACAATTTAAAATTGAACAATCTCATAATCATCCCAGAACCCGGTGTCACAAGTGCATGAGCAATTTCTAGGAAGTAATATAATACAACAACTGTCCGGAATACAATATTGGACAGAAAGTAAATACAGGAATCTGAAAGAGACTCTGCTGGCTGCGGGTCGTCTTGAGAAGTGCAGCTCACCTAAGTCTCCGTATCAACCATGCTGCTACACCCACTAGGCCACTAGAGATGCATGTGCATGTGCAACAAAAATGCACAGCAAGTGTAGTATGAGTACGAAAATAACGTCTACTCAATGAGTATCCCGTCTAATCTCGAAGTAGTAGAGACGAGAGGTCAACTCAACACTTACTAGTGGTCCAATAGTAATATATTATTAATACAAATAATCATGAATTTATTAAGAACAACAGTAAATTCAAATAAGTCACGAAACAAGTAAACATTTCCTTTTTATATTAAAAAGTCTCCAAATTCATAATCTATTACTTATCAATTTATATCAAGCCAGAGAGAGCAAATATCAATATCTATAAATCTCAAGGCAAGCAATACAATCATGCACAAGTCATGCCGAGGTTGTACGGCCCGATACAACATAAATATAAACTGTGCACTGCTGAGGGTCGAACTACGCGAACCATAGATGCATCTATTACCCCGCTCGTGAATCATACACGCGACGCGGTCAAATATAAATAAACACAACAATTAATCAATCAAGAATTCATCAGGGAACAATTATCCAAGGAAAGGCCAATTCTCTTTTAACAATTCAAGAAAATGAAGTTTTATCTTTTAGAAATTCATTTACTAATTCGATGTGATTTAAGCAATTCAAACTGTCAATAAGATTACAAATATTCCAAGTGTAGCATGCTTTTGGGTCCTAGACTATCCGGACTTAAACATAATAGTAGCTACGCACGGACTCTCGTCACCTCGTGCATAGCTAGCCCCCACAAATAGGAGCACATAACCAATTATTTTACCTATGGGAACAATTCCCTCTTAAAAGGTTAGAAAGGAGACTCACCTCGCTCCGAAGATCCATAACCGGCATTCCCCGCCCTTCCGAAGACTCGAATCGATGCTAAATGCTCCAAAACTAGCCAATAATTATGCAAATCCATTAATATATGTTCAATTACTCATTATAATCCAATTTATAACAATTCCAAACCCTGATCGAAAAGTTGACAAAATTGCCCTCAGGCCCACGTGCCCGGATCCAGAACTTTTTTGAAGATAAAGTTTACCCATAGCCTCACGAACTCAAATATATAATTTACTCTCAATTCCATACCCAAAATCGTGTTCTAAATCCAAAAATACAAATTCTAGGTCTTTTCACCAAAACCACAAGTTTCTACCAATTTCCATACTTTAATCCGCAATAAAACCATGTATTTAACTTACAAGAGGTGGGATTAACTTACCTCATGTATGATGATGCATTTCCTCTCTTCAAAGGCTCCAAAATCGCCTAACCCAAGTGCAAAATGCGTGAAAATAAGCCAAAACTCATTCTTTAAAGAACACACTGCCCAACCCGACCTCTCGCACCTGCGGTCACTTGACCTCTTCTGTGGTTCCGCAGGTGCGGTTCCAATACCGCTTATGCGGTCCTCCTCCAGCTGCCCCAAACGGTTTCTGCGCTGCCCAGACCGCATCTGCAACCTCGCTGGTGCAGGAAATCCATCGCACCTGCGGTTTCTGACCCTTCCATTCCACTTCCAGCCGCTTCTGCGGGTGACCCCCGCTTCTGCGGGCTCGCACCTGTGGTGCTCCTCACGGAGGTGCGGTTATACCAGAAGCCCAGCTACTTTAGCCCTTCCTCCAATTCCATTTTCAATCCGTTGACTATCCAAAATCCACCCGAGGCCCCCGGGACCCCGTCCAATCATACCAACCAGTCCTCAAACATATTACGGACTTGCTCGAGGCCTCAAATCATATCAAACAATGCTAAAATCATGAAACAACCTCCCATCCAAGCTTAATGAACTTTAGAATTTCAAACTTCTACATTCTATGCCAAAACCTATCAAATCACGTCCGATTGACCTCAAATTTTACACACAAGTCACATTTGATATTACGGACCTACTCCCACTTCCGGAATCGAAATTCGACCCCGATATCAAAAAGTCTACTTCTGGTCAAACTGCTCAAAAACCTTCAAATTTCTATCTTTAGCCAAATGACTCCAAAATGACCCACGGACCTCCGAATTTACTTCTGATCGCGTTCCCAACACCAGAATCACCATACGGAGCTATTCCCAGACTCGAGATCCCAAACAGACATTGATAACACTGAAATACACTTCAACCCAAACTTATGAAATTCTTCCCAAAAATGCTAACTTCCACAATAGGTGCTGAAACGTTCCCAGGTCTTCCAAAACCCAACCGGACATACGCCCAAGTCTGAAATCATCATACAAACCTGCTGGAACTTTCGAATCCTGATTCCGAGGTCGTTTACTCCAAAAATCCAATCTTAATCAATTCTTTCAACTTAAAGCTTCCGGAATGAGAATTCTCTTTCCAAATCAACTCCGAATTCCCAGGAATTCAATTCCAACCATGCGTACAAGTCATAATACGTGAAGCGAAGCTGCTCAGTGCCTCAAACTGCTGAACGACGCGCTAGGGCTCAAAACGACCGGTCGGGTCGTTACACCAAGACTCAAGGAGCAGAGATCTAGTTCTCTTATTTTCCTAACACTCTCCACTGAAGCATTAATTGTCATAGTTTATTCTTGATTTTGTCACAACATATATATACATATTTAGGTAGTGAAAAAGTAAATGAAGTTGGTTGGTCTTTTTATAATTCATGTTTAGATCGAACACACCTGCATGCTGCTGGCAATTCCTCAGGACTAGGATAATTTGGAGCCATTAAACAGACGAATGAGTCTCTCCAATTTGTAGCTGGAACAGAAGGACTAAACACATCATGATTGTTAGAATGAACCACCACTTTATTATTATCTCGAGTATAATATCGTTTCTTAATCTCAATATCTTGCTCAAAGAATCGTCGTGTTCCTTGCAATATTTCTTCCCGGACAGGTAATGGAATGCCATGATTAATCACTTGAAAGAAACCCCATGTCTCTGATGCATCTCGAACTTTATCCACAATATCTTTATGCTTCATTGGATCCTTATCAAAGCCTTCAAGATCTATCACTGGGAAAATAAACTTTGTCGCGCAACAACTGTTTAAGGACTCTTGTATTTTTTGTGGTTGAATGAACATTCGAGGAACCTCAGTAATTCCAGCATCGACAAGCCCTTTGACACCAGCCTCAGTATCTTCAAGGGCTTGTAACTCACTCATTTTGTCATAACTTTTGTCAACTGTGGCCTGAAAATCATTTGTACTTGAGACTGCCATCATTCGTAAAACAAAGAGATTGGTTATATATAAGCTTTAAAAGGCTTTAAAGTTTTAGTGGAATTCTTTCAAAGGTTGAGAGGATATTTCAAAAGGAAGAAAAAGAGTACAAACGTGTCTTCAGTAGTACTTTTCTATGTTTTGAGTTATCATTATATGTTGTTTAATTTATGCTGTTAACATTATTTGGATGATAAAATTCAATGCAACAAAGTATTATTCTAACTAATTCAATTTTAGTTTTAATATGTAGCAAATATTCAACTTGACAGAAAAAAATTTATATTTCAACAACACACATATTACATTTGATAAAATAGTTAAAAAAATTTCCCAAAATTTCATTTCTTGACGAAAGTTAATTTTATAACTTTGGAAAGGATTTTCACATATGAATAGTGGCTAACATTTACGAACATAGTGTTAAGAATTTTAACTTCACTGATTTTTTTTTTGTGTGGTAGTTTTGACCATTTTTCGATCTCACTAAAAAGTAATCCTTGAAAAGAGATTGAAATGAGGCATCTTATATGTTGTTTAAAATGACACAAATAAATTATTTCAAATTACCATGTTATGTTAGCAATACATAACAGAAAATGAAAACAAAAAGGAAAAGAAAATTCAAGAAAGGAAATGAAAGTTGAAAGGAGAATCCTTTCTCCTCACCAACTAACAAAAAATAGAAGTTGAATATTAGATATGTGGCAACCACTCAAATTTTACTTTACGGGTGTGCATTCGATTTTCCGTTCCATTTTATATTGTTCGATTACGAAAATGTGAAATATATATATATATTGATATTTTGGGTTTTAGTTTCTTAAATCTGAAAACAAATTAAAAACCCAAAATTTCAAATCTCTCAATGCGAACTCAAATTTAAAAGCCAATCCAAATTGGAATTATGATTTGGTTCGATTTAGTGGTTTAATCAGAATAATGCGCGCCCCTATTTAACATATTTATTTTTTATTTCAAATAATGAACACACAAAGCAAAGGTAATAACTAAATCTTATTTATCTCGCCAGCATTGCATCAACAGGAAATAAGTATCATTTGAACCAGAAAATATATAAGATAAATTGTATGTGTCTAAACAACACAATTCATAATATGAAGACAAAGCATCTAATATCAAATATTTTTTAAACTTACAAAACCTATGCAAAATCAATTGTTAAAAATATAAAAAGGAGATGTCGACAAATTAAATCATAAAAAATAAGAAATCAACCCGATTATAAAAAACGAAAATACGAGAATACAGGAGACTAAGAGAGTTCTCGTGTTTTTATAGTGTTAGAAAAAACATCAAATATCAAATCCTACTTACATTTACAACAACAACAAAAATGCGCAAAATTAAATATTAATGAAATATTACAACAACCAAAAAAGGCATATTGAATATCAATCAGTCAAACAACTTTTGAGATTTTTTTGTGAAGGAAAAATTTATTTTATTGAATTTCTGAATGATCTCTACAATTCTCTTTAGATCTCCACACATCAATACTCCTATTTATAATAGTACAAAATCTATTTTAACTAGAAATAGGAAAGTTATTCCTATATTAATTCTGATTACAAATCCTAAGACATGAATTAAATAAACTAACAAATATCAAATCCTAAACGATTAAAGTTTTCTACTATAACTTTGAATTAGTCTTCCAATATTTTCTCGTAAATTCAAAGTTGTATACATATGACTTTTGTTCTTGTATGGAGAATTTCTCTCTAACTTCCACTTTTGTTGAAGCACATGTCTTCAACCCTCGTTGATGTACTTTATCACCAACACCCAATTTTGTTGAAACACTTGTCTCCAACTCCCGTTAATGCACCTTGTCATCAACACCCAATTTTGTTGAAACACTTGTCTCCAACTCCCGTTAATGCACCTTGTCATCAACACCCAATTTTGTTGGAGCACTTGTCTCCAACTCCCATTGATGCACTTTGTCACCAACAACCAATTATGTTGAAGCATCTGTCTTCAATTTTCGTTCATGCACTTTGTCACCAACAACCAATTATGTTGAAGCATCTGTCTTCAATTTTCGTTCATGCACTTTGTCACCAACATCCAATTTTGTTGAAGCACCTGTCTTCAACTCTCATTGATGCACTTTGTTATCTATACCAAACTTTGTTGAAGCATCTGTCTTTAACTCCCCTTAATATACTTTGTTACAACATCCAATTTTATTGAAGCACTTGTCTTCAACTACCATTGATGCACTTTGTCATCAACTCCTAATTTTGTTGAAGCACATGTCTTCAACTATCGTTGATGTACTTTGTTATCAACACTCAATTGTTGATGTACTACTTGTCACCGCCTTTCTTTTTTCTTGATAGCTTCTCTAAGTTTTAGAGAAGAGACTCTTCCTCTTGTGCCATATTTGGTTGCATCTCTTTAGTTTGTAATTTTTTTTGCTCAATCCTTATCAGCATGATTGTTTTTCATACATATATCATTGGCCCGATAGTTGTTAACATACTCAATGGCCAGACGAGCAACACACATTGGCTAGCGCCGTCCATCGCCAACGAAAGCTACTTGATTCTCTCAAGATCGTAAAAGCTTTGATACCAATATGAAGGAAACATATCTTATTATAAATCTCTAAAATCTCTCTATAATTTTTTTAAATCTCCACACATCAATACTCCTATTTATAATAGTATGAAACCTGTTTTAACTAGAAATAGGAAAGTTTATTCTTATATTAATTCTAACTATAAATCCTATTTAGGCATGAATTAAATAAACTATCAAATATCAAATCCTAATAAATTAAGGTTGAGTACTACAACTTTAAATTCGTTTTCAAACATTTTGCCTTAAGAGTTCAACACGTGATGGACCTTTTGTATATTGATTCCAAAGTTTATCTGTTTAAGCTTTTATCAGTAAACTTGAATATTAAAAAAAAGACAAATGAACAAAGAGTTTGAGTTGATTCGATAAATAAAAAATACAAAGAAAAATAAATTGTGTAAAGCCTAAAAAGAGAAAAATAAAGGGATAAGCAGCTTAAAGATTTAATTAAGTGAGCGTGAATTTAAAATGGGTTGAGTAAATAAATAGGAGAATCTACGCGGTATACCCATTGAAAATACCTGTTAACTTCATATACATTTAAAATATTTATTTTATATTCTATACCTACTTTATAAAATTTTATTTACTTTTCATCTTTAATATATTTATATGCTATTAAACAAATTTTACCTTTTAAGGGATTAGATTATCTCTCACTCCAATTTGATAAATCCCTTAAAATGCTCCATCATCCTAAAGAATTAGGATTACACATCTCCACCAAACATCTGAACCCCAATGATTTCATGTTCCAACTAAACAACCCTCTCGAAACCTTTCCTATGGCCTATGGGTGTAGAAGGAGGAAGAATACGGGAATAGAACATTTATTTTGTACAAGACAATACCTCTTTATCATTTATTTGTTAAACAAAGTGTTTCATCTTTTTTGTTATTCTCTTACATCTATGTAATCAAAAGAAAAGCTAAAATACAGTAAAAATATTTTAATCTGTGATACAATATCTAAACTATAGAAATATTAGAATATACTATTTAAATCAACACACCAAAATATTCTAATTAAAATTATAATATTCAAATCAAACATGCCACAATATTCTAATTTGGAATACAATATTCAAACCAAACAGACCATAGTTTTCTAATAGAATACAATATTGAAACCAAACATACCAAAATATTTTAATGTGCAATACATTATCCAAACCAAACATACCAAATTACAATTGATCAATGAAGAAAATAGTATTCAAACCAAACATACCAAATTACAATTGATCAATGAAGAAAATAGTATTCAAACCAACACACCATAATATTCTAATAAAGAATACAATATTCAAAACCAAATATATCACAATATTCTAATTTGGAATACAATATTCAAATCAAATATACCATAATATTCTAATTTAGAATATAGTATTCAAACCAAACATACCACAATGGCCTGCAGCTGGCTGGCCTCCACCTCTAGCGGCCTGAGCTCCACCTCTAGTACCTCTACCTCTACCTCTAGCACCTCTACCCCCACCTCTAGCTGGCTGGGCGGGCTGTGGAACACCTGGTGCCTATACCATAGCACGAGAACCTTGATGTTGAGAGCTACTCGGTGCTCGAGGGCAAAACTTGGCAATGTGACCCGGATCACCATATGTGTAACAAGCCCTCGGATGCTGAGACTGCTGGCCCTGACGACCTGAATGACCACCTCGAAAACTCTGAAGCGGCGGTGCACTAATAGGAGTAGGTGGTGCCACTGTAGGACTATTGATCGGGATACTGCTTCTGGGTACCACGACCACCTGAAGTACCGTGAGAAACCTGGAGCGCTGACTGAAAGAACCTAGGAGGATGGCCTCTACCATACGAATCTCGACCTCCGGATGAGGTACCACTGAATCGGCCTGAATGACGGAGCCTCTTGTATGACCCATGACCGCCTCCCTGTGACAGAACCATCTCAACTCTATGGGTCACATTGGCCGCCTCCTGAAAAGTAATCTCACTCCCAGCCTCTCTAGCCATCTGAAGACGAATCGGCTGAATAAGACCATCAATAAACCTCCTCACCCTCTCTTTCTCGGTGGGCAGTATAATGAGAGTTTGGCGATCTAAGTCGATAAACCTGGTCTCATACTGGGTAACAATCATGAAACCCTGCTAGAGGCGCTCAAACTGCCTCCAATAGGCCTCTCTCTAGGAATAACACTGTCAACTGCTCCCAAGTCAAGGCTGGCAATCCAGCTGGTCTCGCTAAGCAATAATCCCTCCACCAAGTCTTGGCGGATCCAGACAAGAGAAATGTAGCAAAATCAACCCCATTGGTCTCAACAATGCCCATGTTCTTGAGAACATCATGGAGGCTGTCTAGATAATCCTGGGCTGCTCAGTAGATGCACCGCTAAAAGTAGAAGTGA